TGTGTGTGTGTGTGTGTGTGTGTTTATCTATACAAGATTGGCAGGATAGGCAATCTTACAGAGAGAGCAACTGAACTGACAGTTCCTGGAGGGTATGGAAGGGAGGAGGTGGGGGGGCAGGTACAGGGGAATAATAAGGGTTCGAAAATTGATGGCAAGGAAGGTGTAGCTTCTCCGGTTGTGTTTGATCAATTGAATGGTATCTGAGAAGAAATACTGAGAGGCGAACAATGGCTAAACATGATAATTGGGCAGGAGGAGAAAATAAGAGAAAAATAAAAAAGAAGAAAAATATATATACATGTATATACGTACATATACAAATATACCATATATACTCGAGTATAAGCTAAGTTTTTTAAATTATTTTATTGGGCCCATACAATTCTCATCACAATCCGTACATACATCCATTGTCAAGCACATATGTGCTTTTGTTGCCTCATCATTCTCAAAACATTTGCCTTCTACTTTAGCCCTTATTATCAGTTGGTCATTTTCCCCCTCCCTCTGCCCTCCCCCTCCCTCGTGAACCCATAATTCACAAATTATTATAGTTTTGTCATAAGTTACACTGTCCGATGTCTCCCTCCCGCCCTCTTCTCAGCTGCCCATCCCCCAGGGAGGAGGCAATACTTAGATTCTTGTAATCGGTTCCCCCTTTCTACCCCACATTCCCTCCACCCTCTAGGCGTCGCCCCTCTCACCACTGGTCCTGAAAGAGTCCTCTGTCCTTTCCCTGTGTTTCCAGTTGCTGTCTGTACCAATGCACATCCTCTGGTCTAGCCAGACTTGTAAGGCAGAATTGGGATCATGATAGTGGAGGGAAGGAAGCATTTAAGAACTAGAGGAAAGTTACATGTTTCATCGTTGCTACCCTGCACCCTGATTGGCTCATCTCCTCCCCACAACCCTTCAGTAAGGGGGTGTTCAGTTGCCGACCAATGAGCTTTGAGTCTCCACTCTGCACTCACCCATCTTTACAATGATATGATCTTTTGTTCTTTGATGCTTGATATCTGATCCCTTCGACAGCTCGTGGTCACACCTGCTGTTGTGCTTCTTCCATGTGGGCTTTCAGCACATTTTTAATGCAGTTTTTGTGGTAAAATTAGGTGCCTTGACTGATATTTGGGTCGGCTTATACTGGAGTATATATGATATGTATATTTGTTTATATATGTATATATATGCAAATGCAACAAGAAAGCAGATGGACTTTGGACCTCTACTTAAATCAGTATGAGAAAATTTTTTTCTAATAATGTGGCACTATGTGATACTCACCTTCCTGACACAATTGCTGAAGACAAATGGGTGAATAAGCAAATGTGGTAAAGAAAGCTGATGGTGCCCAGCTATTAAAAAATAAGCGTCTGGGGTTTTAAAGGCTTGTAGTTAAACAAGCAGCCATCTAGCATGCAACAAAGCCCACATGGAAGAAGCACATGGGTCTGTGTGATCATGAGGTGTCGGTGAGAAGTGGTATCAGAAATTCAAAAGCAAGCAACCAAATCGATATGAAGAGGAGTAGATATAGTGGAGACCCAAAACCCACCTGTAAGATAATTGGACAGTCTTCACAGAAGGGCCATGTGGAAGGGATGATAAATCCAAGGTACAGTATAGCACTGATGAAGCACATAACTATCCTCTAGTTATTTAATATTTTCCCCCTTTACTATTATGGTTTTTATTTTTTTTACCTCATTAATCATGTTAGATTTATGTATGTTCATTTGTATACTTAAGATCTTTTGATACATGAAAGCCAAGATAGATAACCCTTCAGAACAGTAACAGGAGTAACGGTTCCTTGGGAGTATGGGAAGAGATGGGGGTGGGGAAGGGGAGACTAGGGAGCTGATAGCAATGATGA